TGAAGCCCAGCCTAGCAGTGCTCTTCTGTCCTTCAAGCCTCTGGTGACTCAGAAATGCTGCATTTGTGGTACTGAATTATTCATGACAATTTTATCAGCTGGGGAACTGGGCTTGGGCTTCCATTCATCCAAATGAAATTTCTCTCTCTTACAGAGAAGAGAGCACCTTTTCAGTCACTTCATTCAAGGCTGCCATATTTTGGTGTAATTTATATTAAATTCGCTTCCGATATTCTTGCTTTCTTGACACTGTGTTCGAATTCTTAAGCAAAGTTCTGCAAACACTAAAAGCCTACAATTACAAGCAATAAAAAGCAGTTCTTCCAAAATACCCCTGTAACACATACCCCCTTTCTGAGATGGTAGTTTACTGACCACAGCACCATGAAGATATTTCAGCTGCATGCTCGCTTTGCCTCAGGAATGAATTCACCCTGCAAATAGGAGACAACACGCAAGCATCTCCAAAACTAATGCTCATCAGCCTGCCAGATGCAGGAATTAATGAAAAGGCTAACTGTAGAATAAAAGCCAAATCTTTGCATTTAAGATGCTCAGTTCCTTCCAGAAAATCATAATATAAATCTCATCATGTCAACACAGCCTGTTCCTTTTTCATGTTCCGGTTTTAGAATGAGAGCAACATGTGTTAAAGTTTTTGCTCTCCTCTTCCATTGAAGCCACTGCTCGTTCTCACTGTGACTGCAACACAGCTCCACAAACTTTGCAGAACAGAAGCGTTGAGACAGAACAGTTGTCCCGCTATACTGATTTGCATGTAGGGTAACTACCGTTCGTTCCCACATGCTATCCATGCACAACAATGAAATCGAGTTGGCCAACAAAGATGAAGAATTTGGCCATTTGTTTCTCTGTTGTATTCAGACAGCAATGTGCAACTGCTGCAAGTTATATCAAACTAGGCTCTTCTGGAGACATCCTGCTTGCTTACAGTGTTTAAAAAAAAAAAAAAAAAGTAAAATTTAAAAAAACTTGCACTTCTGCTACACGCTGAGTTCAGGTTGTTGGATCTTCCAGCCAGCCAGATGGAGATTCAACTATGTAAATACTGAGAGTTTCAATGGGAGTCATATGCCTAAAGTCATCTAGCTTTGGAAACTAACTGGTCCCCCACCACAGCCAGTATTTGTTACGCCACAGATCCAAATGTACATAACTGTATAAGCCATGCCTCACGTTCAGTTCTGCTTCTGAAGCTGCAGCCACAACATCGGTAGCTTAAGCTTCTGGAAGATTTAACAGTCTGAATGACTGCCTTGCATATACTTGGCAGAAACTCTCCTCTTCCACATTTATAGGATGCGGAACAAAACCAGACCAGCTCCAAAATCTAGGCAAGCTCAGAACATACACCGAGTGCTACTTCCTTTCTCACTTCTTGCATTTATCTTTATTACAACTTTGCCCTATAAACACAGCACATTTTTCGGGTGACAAAGCACAATGCCAAACCGAAGGGGTTAATACAACCTAGTTCTGCTGGTATATTACTCTTTGAGGTTTTATCTTAGTTTCCCTCTTCAGCACAGTCTCCCTCAACATCACACTAGTTTCTTCTTTAATCCCATGAGAAAGTAAAGCTCCTTTATACAGGAGGGATCAAAAGCTTGCAACTGTAACAGAGTGTAATCCTCTAAAAATGCCTATTGGAAAGAAGCAAAGATACTAAATCTTCATCTAATAACATTTTAACATCAGAATCCTAAGTCCAATCACTTCAACCTCTTTACAGCTTTTGGCAATGGAAATGAGAATCAGGGCCTACATTTTCACAAGGTCACATTAGCTGGCGTGTGAGGTAGCAGTGAAGAGATTTTTCTAATTTTGACATAACGATGCCTGAAAAGCCACAACGCAGAGGGAGTCCACCTTAGAAAAAACCCTACTAAATCTCTGAACTTTGAAAGAGCTACATTGCACAGTGCCCTGCCTTCACTTACCCCAACAGATGGGTTCTGCAATTTTGCTCAGTCTGAGAGAACAAGCATCTTCAAAATTTGGCAACAAAACCTGCAGGAGTGTTATTGTGAAATGCCAAGGAAAACTAGTGTTGAATACACTTCTCTGGAATCCAAGAGCCTATGAAATGGATATAACTTGGAATTAGATCCAGTCAGTCTGCTCTAGTATAGACCGTGTTAAGAGCTTAACTGCTGTTACACGTGCCCCTACGCAATTTAGAAACTGGTGTAGTGGAAGAGAAATGCAACGTGGAAAGGTCCTGAGACTAGGTGGTCTAAAAGCAGATCGTCTTAAATTTCAGTTTATCATCATCTACTGATATTGACACAAAATTGAAATTCTTGTTTCACGCTGTTGCCACTGTTAAAGTTGATTCCAACCCCCTCTCATTCAACCTTAAACAGAAACTAACTAATCTAGATTCTAGCAGGGTTTTTTCCTGCTCATCCTCTGTCTGCTACACTTTGCCTTTAAAATTAGATGTTATTGCTGAAGCTCTTCAGCTCTAGCAGGCACAGAAAAAAAACATACAAGCACCAACGACTTTTAATCACATAAGTCAGCCATCAAAACCTGAGAACTGGCTGATAAATTGCCACTTGTTTCTTGTTGACAAGAACCATCATCACACCATGGTATATAATACGACCACACCATGCGTGCTCCTCATCTCAGAAAACAACCATCACTATTGTCCGCATTGAGACAAACAGCTCCTCCCCTCCCAACCCGTTTTTGCCAGTTTTTGCCAGTTTTTGCCATCATTGTTATCGGTCCTACAGCAGATTACTGTGCTCAGAGCTATGCATGAATACCAACTAACATTCAGATGTATCACAGGATAACAATTCACCTCACACATCTCCTTACCAGGGTTCCTCAACCAAAACCTACAACAGCAAACGCAAAAGTCAGACTAACAAACACAAAGTGTTCACAGCAGAACTACAGTGAACTTGCTACTGTGCACCCAAGCTACAGACAGACCCACTTCCACGCTTACCTTATCGTCAGCCCTTTGCGTAGGCCTTGGAGAAATCAATTTGACACAACCTGAGCACAAAAGTTCTGGTTCTAGCGCTTCACAATTCCCAAAAGCTTGCTACCTCTCCCGTTCCCCACCTTCTCAGTCTACCTCTGAGGATGTAAATAAGAGCACACAGTTTGCTGGTTGGCAGGGATACATGAAGCTGTTTCGAGCTTCTGGAAATCAGTACCTAGCTTCTTCCCTTTTAATGGCATGACTTTGATATTTTGCTGACCACCCTTCATTAAAATACTGACAAAATTACAAACTAAAAATCAAAACCTGTCCAATCATAGCCCAAAGATCAGGGGCGTTGTTTAGTGTCTCACAGCACAGAATAAGCTCAGAAATTAGACATAAAGCTGGAGCTACAAAGCAGTCAGTTAATATCAAACAGAAGGAGAGCTACATACATACCAAAGAACAGCACAATTACAAAGCTTCATAAAGCACCTAAAGTATTTCAATAGTTACAAGAAAGGTCCGTTTCTCAGAGCTTCTCCGAGAAGTGAAAACGGTCAAGGTGGACTTACAAAATACCGTACGTGCTACAGCACACGGCCCCCGTGCCAGTTGTTACAGGAGGCAATTCACTAATGCTGACTTTTTACTAGCTTCCACTTTTGAAAAACCCTCACAAATCAAAAATATTTATGACCCTTTTACGAGGCTTAAATAAAGCTCTGAGATGAAATGCAAGAATTTATTTCCCCATCTCCTCTCCTCGGGGAGGACGAGTAGGTTCAAAAGCTTTAAGGCCTGTGAACAAACTGGTTTAAGCGACCAAGGTTCTTCAGAGATTCGCATTCCTTGCCGGGCAGAACAAGAGGTTAAATGACCCATGTTTTCATCAGGCTAAACAAAGCCACAGTATTGTTTGATGCAGAACAGGAATGAAGCTGTAGTCGTTTAAAGGACTGTTACGTTCAAAGTTTCCTCTGCAATTGCTGAAGTTCTAAATACTCTACCCTGAACTCTCCAGCAGACACTGCTAGCCTAACTAATCTGACAGAGAAAGAGCAATATTTTACTCCTTGTCTTCTCCTTAGTAGTTGCCATGATGGAACTTGGGGTGGGAGGGGAAGGGAAAACACCGAGACACTTCAGCCTATTTTCTGTCTCCAATAAAAACTTGGGAAAACATTTCAGGATCCCTTTGACAACAAAAAAAAAAATTGACAATTATGTTTCTTAATGCTGCCACTTTTTCACCCAGACAACTTGGGTGTCTCACGTTTAAAACCAAAATGAACACACACACATTTATATACCTGTGGTTCAACAACAGTGTAGATTATTTACTTTGTAGGCAAGCAGTGGAAGTTTCCCCCACAGGGGAAATCTGCCATGAGAAGTTTGATATCTATAACCGGAAATGCCTGTGCAGCAGCATCAGCCTACCTGATTACTTGTTTTAAGTACTTCTGACGGAGTGCATATTGTCTTAAATGTAGATTACATGCCTGAAAACACAGCAGTTTCTTCACTATTTATCACCATTGTAGCCAAGTTCCAGGAGTCTGCATGTATTCTGCTACTGAGTACCCAACGGATTGCAGATGCTGTAGTATCCTAGGATGAATCCTTTCAAAATTAACTTCAGTGATCCTCCTATTTTTTTCCTTCCTTTCTAAAGATTTAAACTTTCAATTTAAAAAGTATTACACATGCAAAACAAAAATCAGTGCGGATACCCCTCCTTTCCCCTAAACACAGGCTGACCAACATAACTCTCCAGAAAGCATGCCGTGTCACTGATGTTCCTGAATTTGTGATAGTGATGCTCACTTTTAGTGCTGCTGCAGCTGTCTGTAATGTTAACCACAACGTTTCCCTGTGGGCCAGTTTTGCGTAACTTGTTGTGGTGGGCAGAGCTGGAGGTTCCTCATCACTGGTCTGCAGTCCTTCAGTCTCGGCATGCAAACCAGAACACCAAATCCCATATCACCTTAAATTTCCCAAGTTAAAATACATATCGTTACTCACTCACCTTTTTCCCCTCTGTACTATCACCACTGACATAGGACAGTTTTCGACGGACATAAAAGAGCATATCATCTTGCCTGGGGGCCCATTTCTCCATAAAATATGTTGAAAACATCCAAGTCCAGAAGACAATGCGGTCATCTTTGAAACACCCTAAGAGTAATAAAAGAAAGGAGAAATAAGAGTTGTGGAACGACCATGTCACATTGGATTGTGCGTAACACCCAAAATCTCTGTCTGGTACAGTCAGGCCCAACCCTAGGAGAAATGCTGTTGTACAGCTCGAAGGAGGACATCTGAAGCTGTTCAGCACAGGTGCCATCCAGTTCACAGCCAGTCTTTGGCCACTGTCAACTAGCACAGCCTTCTATCACAGCCAATCTGCCCTTCTTCACAACAACCATCGATCAGGAACACACCTTAGAAAACAGCATACACCCTGTGTGAGCACTGCTATGATTGTATCACTGAAGGGCAGCACCAGCACATCAAACTCAAGTATACCAGAGAAACACTTGAGGAGTAATAGCAAAGGCACAAAGTGCTGGTATCCACTCCAGTTAATGACATGGATCCATCAACTGCCAACAGGTTCATTATATGCTCACAGGGAGGGCAGCCAATCCTCCTGAAATGTGCAACTGTGACCTTCCTTAAACCAATACCTAGCAGCAAGAACATACCCGTCAGGGTTTACTGTAATTCACCCTCTCTTTGACAAGGAACAAAAGTGGCCAGCACTTCCTCAAGGGTGAGAGGAGTTTTGAAATCATGAATCCCAATTAAACAGGAAAAAACAGGAGGAGAACGGGGAAATGGGAAGAGTAGGAGGCAACAAAATTCTCGTTCAAAGAGGAAGAACAACTTACGACAGCAGCAGCAACAGCGTGACAGTTAGCCTCTCATCTGGAAAAGGAGGAACAGTACACATAACACCACATTTAGTGGAACTCTTCAGTGCAATTAAATATAATAAAAGAGATGTTGCATCTTTTCAGTGCCTTAATGCCTCTGCACTGGTAAAGGCCAAGATCTAGCTAAGCAGAGAGAGAAGCCAGTGCTGTGACTGGTAATAAGGGAGCTGAGTTTCTCCAGTGCTCATCAGTCCTCCTGGAGGCTCTCAGAGATTGAATAATTGCATCCCCTCGCCTTGAAGCCCTACAGAGAGATAACTGTGGCTGTAAGCCACAGTCCAGCTACTTTGAAACCTTGGCGGAGAAAGATACTGGCAAAAAATCCATTGCCGAGAAATGACAAAAACCTTAAGTGGATGATAGATCATCTTGGTAAGCGTTACATATCAGGCAGGGGTGTGCACGTGCGTGTGCACATGTAGCTGACAACACAGCCTCCACAACAGCCATCCTTTCAAGTGGCATATTTCCCTAAAAGCTACATATTGGCTGCCAGATTTGTACACGCATGTCACTTCCCAGCCCCCAGCTACCATTCAAGTTGGTGCATCTCCCTCCCTGCGGTACACTGCACAGATGAAGTATTTCTGCAGATAGAGAAGAATCCTGCATAAGACAAACGGTATTTATTCACAGTGATATCTGAATTAAGCTTTAGGAGATTTTCTAGCCAATTGCAAGGTTGACATATCCTGCAACAATGACAGTGATATTTCTTGCATGCTGGTGGTTAACTTCAGGGCTTCACAAAGCAATCAATCTTTCAATCCATAATGATAATTCAGCACATTTTCCTACCTCATTATATGTGCAATATTTGCAAGCTAAATCTTTCTTCCAATCTTTCATTACTGTGGTGGGCAGGAGATTAGACTTTCAAATCTTTTAGTGGACAAATGAGCGATTGAAATAAAAATCTTCAGTCTTTCCAACTAAATACAAAAGCAATATTGAAAACAAAATGAAATTCCACTGTAGGACCACGCACAGAATACTCTAATTAACATCAAGAAGGATCGTAATTGAAAATGTGTCTGCAGTTGATTAGATCTGAAAAAACCCAAATCATTAATGAAAACGCTGAGAGAAAAGCAAAAAAGGCCAAAAGACTGTTAAAAGTTTTCAGCGCAGGTAGTGAGGTCAGTTGCTCGGGTCACTGTGACTACCCGAGCAACAGAGAACATAACGTCCAATCGTAAATAAAAATCGACAACAACTTTAAAAAGTAACTAGCTTTACAAGCAGAGACAGGGAAACAAGCACTGGAGAGGTCAGATCTGGATTACTGCACATCTGCTCCATCTGAACGCCTCCCTTGCACACAAGCGACCAGGACTGTATAAGCAAACATCTACACTGGGGAGCCTACCACACAAGAGGAGATTCAGATGTGTTCAGACTCCCAAGGCCAGGCTGGGAAAGGACAGGGTTATGATCTGTCACTATATTCATGGATATACATTAAGAAGAGAGAAGAGCTATTCAGGCTTAAAGATATACTGCTGACACAAGGACAAAGAGCTCCAAGCTGCCCACCAACATATATTTAGGTCAGAAATTAGAAGCAGCTTCCAAAGCAGTTGCAAGTCCAGGAACAGCCTCCTAAGTAGCAATAGTGAAGGCAAAAATCCCAACAGCTTTAAAAATACAGCTCAACTTGTTTGTGAAGGTTCATGTGGTACCAGTGACATCAGAGGATGGTATGACCCAGTCCTAGCTCTATATTTAGCAAAGACTAGAAAACAGGGCATGCGTTGATCACAATTCATTAACGGTCTCAGAGAAACTTATTAAATCGGCTGGCTTTTGAGTACCTGAATTCATGGCCTTAATACTGAACCGAACGAGGGAGGAGTGAAGGGGAGGAGAGGGAGGGAAAGGGCATAAGAGAGTTGCCCTGAATTTCTCCAGAGTTTTAGGAAAAAAAAAGGAAATTTAAATCAGTGTATTTTCAGAACATCTCAGAAAAAACTTCTGGTGTTCAGAAGCGTAACACTTTCTTCAAACTTAGCTTTGCTTCATAAATAAGCATATATAATAAGTCTAACCAATCCATTCTTAAATTTACATGAAAATCTTTTTCTATCTGGGGGAGATGTTTACTTTTCCCTTGTAAAAGAAAAAAACAAATTATCTAAATTCAGCATTATAAATGAAGGTTAAATCATTTTTAGGCGAGACTGCAATCCTCGTTGCACCTGCAAAATTCAGACAAGTTGTCATATGAGCTGTTTATATCATCAGATACATTTTATACAACAATATAAAGGAGTTAATATGCTATGGGTGCTTAGAGCATTAATACTTGCAGGAGAACTGAAGAACAGAGTAAGACACCAGGAGTTTGTATGTACTCCCACAATTGCTGGGGAGCAAAGGACAAACTGATTCAGAGTATTTGACATTAGCCTAAACAGAAAGCCAGGCCAGAAGTACTGCTGCAACGAAGCTATTTAAACACTGTAGCATAACAGGACACTTGGGGAGGGGGAGGAAAAATGCACATAAACACCCTGAAAACCCTTATAGCAATGTTGAAGAGCAGTCAATCCAAAACCCCATCTGCCACACAGAACAAATGTAAAATTGCATTCCCAACTTCAGAGATGTTTTCAGTCAGTGGTGTAATTAAAAACAGCCTGAGGTTGTTCTGAGTGCAACGGCTAAAGGGCTTTTCTTGAAGCCAAAAAGAGCCAAATCACAGCAACCCAGCTGCTTTCGGTAAATTTTGGTAGATGGAAGAAGGAAAGGAAACAGCACACAGTCTTTACAATCTATTATTAAATGGCATTAACTTGGAAAGGAGGCAAGCAAATTTGTAATTCTAATCCAGATTGCTTCAAGAGAACAATCAATTTCAATTTCACTGCAAGCCAGAAACTGCCAGATCCAACAGACCCATTCAAGCTTGCCTTCAACTATTAGATCCCCCAAAACAAGGCAAACCTTCACAATCATTTCAGTAGTTCACCGCTTATCGCTGGAAGCCTTCCAGCTTTGCCAAGTCAAAACCTATTTCTTGGAAACTGCTTTTTCAATTATTGTTTTAGGTAATGATTTTGAAAGGGTCCAGCTAACTGCTCGGAGGACAAAATTCTTCTCTTCCATATACAGAACAACCTAGAGGCCTTACTTTTTCAGACTTTGCTACGTTACCCTGTTGAAGAGCCTCAGCTGCCGCAGAGACAGCGGGGCTCAGAGAGTAGCTTTCTCTGCATTACATGACAGCAACCAAAGCTGGGCCAGCGCCCAGCTGGATTACTGGCCTTAATACTACTTCTGTCCACTAGCAAGGACTGAGATCAAAAAATGGACACCAATTTTTTCAAAGCCTGGACAATCATGAGTTGGCAGCAACCTTCTGTCACGTTGGTCCATCACTGGTTTGCACAGCCCTCAGAAGATGATGTGCATGTACACAAACACATATACTACTATTAATCTAATAAAACATCTGGCACTTAAAAGCACTGGAGGCTTCAACTTCCACATTTGGGGGAGTCCTTCTGAAACGTTGAGGACATTCGCATTTTTGCCAGATGAGAATTTGAGCCTTCTGCAACACCAGAGTTGCATCACATTTGCAAAGGAACCAAATTCTATCTACAGTCCAGGGCACGCAGCACGACAGCTTCCTGCAAACTCCTCCTCTAACAAATTCTGCTTCTAAATGAATAAAATGGAATTAAGAATTCAGATTATAAATCTTAATACAGTAGAAGTCAATTATATAATTATGAGACCTTTGTAATGAATAAATCTTAATTACAGCAATTTACTCGAATGATTCATTTACATGGATTTTATCCTCATTAGAAACAAGATTTATGCCAGCTGCTATGCAATAAATATGTCTTTCTTTTTACCTATTAGATTTTAGACTGAGCATTCATTTCAGAGAATTGACTCTACATAATAAGATCCACATAATAAGAAGTTAGAGGGCTGGGTTTTTTTTTTTTTAAATAATTAATGCTTTCCAAAAAATTGGTCAATGAAAAGACGTGTCAGCATATTATTTTGCTTCAAAGGAATAGAAGAAAAGATTTTCCATTTGGTGGATAATCTTTTTCAGCATGCACCACTCAGAGCTCAGAGGAACAATAATTTCTACTAGACAGCGTGTCCGACGCTTTATTCCTCCAGACTGCCATGGGCTACTCTCAACGGCGAAACTTCGTAAAACTCATTTCATCTGATTCTGCCACGGTACTACCGTCTGTAAAATGAGCATCCCAT